GAGTATTCCAGTGGTTTCCACAATATTCCGCAACATTCCGCAACATTCCGTGGGTTTCCGGCATGTTCTCCTCCTGTCTCCTTGGAATATCCTGGTGTTCCCTGGCTCTCTGATGCTAGGCTGTCATGTGCACATTGTCTGGAACCTTCTAGAACCTTCTGGCAATTTCTGCACCTTTGTCAGCTGAAGTAGTCTAGCATGTTCTCCATGACTGCAGATGATCCTGTGTTGATGGCTGGGTTCCTCCTGTTCCTGAAGTTTCCGGTACCTTCCGGAACTGTCTCCTGACCTCTGGGCTAGTCCTAAGCATTCTGGTGTCTGCTAGGTTGGTCTCTGGTCCTAGGTCTGTCTGGTGAGGGTGCTCCTATTGCTGGCATACCCTGGACTGTTCCGGTAGGCCCATGTGCCAAACCAGTTTGGTGCATGACAGCGAGCGCGGGCGGGGGAGCGGACGTGGGCGGGGCGGGGGCGTGGGCGTGGACGTTGCGGGCGCGGACATTGCGGGCGCGGACATTGCGGGCACGGGCGCGGGCGTGGACGCGGACGTGGACGCGGACGTTGCGGGCGCAGACGTTGTGGGTGCGGATGTGGATGTGGGCGCGGACGTTGCGGGTGCAGACATTGCGGGTGCGGACGTTGCCGGCGTGCTTGTGGACTGGCCTCCAGTTGCAGCCGGGGTGGCGAGGTCGGCCTGCTGACGGCATGGTTGCGAGGTCTTCGTCGTTGCATGTTCAGAGGCAGCACTGTGTGAATGCGGTGGGTGTAGCGGGGACGACGTGTCCGCATGACGAGCGGGCATGCGGGCGGCTTGGATCGGACACACCGGGGGGTTATTGGGTGACATCTTGGAGGGATCTGTCGAATCTGAAGGATACCGCCACCCCAGGTAAGCATCCGTGAGATGCTCGATAACGGCGGACCAGTGTCCGTCCGCCCGCTCGAGTCGCTGACGCCATGTACGCTGGTCCTGTCTTGCACGAGGCCAGCTATCAGAATGTTCAGTACACGAAAGTGAAAAAGAAGTCATGGGCGTACCGTGTGCCCATGAAGTCTCGCAGGGCATACAGAACGTCGCCGGTGGCCTCATCTGCGTCTACATCTCCCGCATTGTCTACATCCATCGCATCTCCCGCCTCCTGGAGCTCATGGTGGTTATCGTCCATAGGTGAATCGCCTGCCGTCTGGTCGGCTCTTGCATTAAGATTGCGGATCTGCTCGATCGCGCGATCACCCAGGCCTACATGGCGTGTACGTTGCAGCGACGTTCGCGTACGCATGCAAATGTGAGTACATACCGGTGAGTACTTGGTCTATCCTCCTTTGTGTCTTCTCCTTCTCATCGACGAGACCCTGCGGACTGAACGCCTTTTGCGAGACGATGGTAGAGCTTCCGCTGCCAGGCCTAGTCGGCTCGAGCGTATAGCGCTTGATCTTGCGTGAGACGCCCTTGCCTTTGGATCTAGACTTGACCATAGTGCAATAGAGCGTCACAATGGACGTTGCCGAGCAAAGAGGGAGCGACTAAGGGGCCACAGCGGCAAGCGTGTAGCAGGCAGTGGGTGGTAAGGATGAGCGGTACGGAGACGATTGGCGCCCATAGAGCGGCATGACTCAAACCACGTGCTGCGCGGGAACTCCGTGTTCCTCGGAAACGCTCGCCAGGGCCCTAGGCCTCGGGGGCCCCGGCCGCGCGTGCCTGATGACGCGTGCAGCGCGCACGGACCCTTCTGCCAAGCCCTTCCTCCCGGCCCCCCTCCGCCTTCCGCTCTCTCCCTGGATGCGTGAGGCATTGGTAGACTGATATAAACGTCGCGATGCGCATTATAAACCTATATAAAGTGGTACTACAAAAGAAACGGAGCGAAACGGCCCAGAACCGGGGGAGATAGCGAGCTCGCTGTCGCGGACAGCGAGCACGGTCCCGCCGGGGCTTTGGCGCCGGGCGGGAGGCACGCGCCCGCCTCAGCAGGCGCCGGCGGCTCCTAGAGCGTGTGGCTGGCCTTGCGGGCGCCCCTGGGCTTAGCTAATAGCTCTTTATCGAGCCTTTATTGG